CAAAGCATCAAAGAAAAATGCAAATTTAACAGTAAGCCCAACAAGTACTCATGAAAAAGGTAAAGAAAGAAGGAAGAGTGGTAGAGAAAAATTAGGAAAAGAAATAAGTGAAGCAAGAAAATTATGAAAAGAGAATTAACAGCTTGGTCAAAGAGTCACAAATACACTGAAGTAAATAACACCTTAAAAAACAGAATTGGACAAATGGTTAAAGAGGAAGAAAAAGTCACTGAAAAAAGAAACTTCTTAAAAAGAAAAATTGGCCAAATGGAAAAATAGGTACAAAAACTCACTGAAGAACATTACTTAAAAAAATAGAATTGAGCAAGTGGAATTTAATGACTATGTGAAACATTAACAAACAATAAAACAAAGTCAAAAGAACGAAAAAAATACAAAAAAAATATTGCTTTTTTGGTGATCTGGTTAATATAGAAATAGGTTTTACATGATTTTACATGTATAATTGATATCATATTGCTTGCCTTCTCAAACAATGGTGAGGTGGAGGGGGAGAGACTTGGGAACTCAAATATTAGAAAAAAACCTTTAAAGTAAATAATAAATTGTTAAAAAAAACACTTTGAGATTTAAGAACAGAAAAATAGGCAAACATGATTTTTAACATTCTTTTCAAATTCTTTTTTTTAAAACAATAACTGGTTACATTTATAGAGCATTTTATAAATATTATTTCATTTTATACTCCAGCAATCCTGGAAAGTAGGTGCTATTATTAACCTCATTTTATAAATGAAGAAATTAAGGCAGGTACAAGTTAAGGGACTTGCCTAGGGTCTCATACCTATGAAAATCTGAGGCAGAATTTGAACTCAGATCTTTTTAACTCCAAGCCCAGCGCTCACTGCACTGCTTAACTTCCCCTTTTTAAAAACAACCTATAGGATGGCATTGTGTGTGTTCCTTAACCTCTCTACACTTCATTTTTCTCATCTATAAAGTAAGTGGATTTTCCTAGATGATCTCTGAGGCCCCTTCCTTGTTCCAAATTGATGATTTAATGCCTTAAAATAAACGTTTAAATATTTTGAGCTGAGAGAAAGGCAAAATATACAGACTTCTTAAACTTTTTGGCATTTCTTCTTCTCTATGTTCAATTTCATAACAAATAATACGCTCCCAAAAAGTTCCAGGGCTATTATACGACTACCTATTTATATGATCTTGGTTAGGTCACTTATCTTTCTTGGGACTGTTTCCTCATCTGTTAAATTACAAGATTGCCCTGGGTTACTTCTAAGGTCCAGCTAAGGGCCCCTAGATGGTGTTGTGGATAGAGCATTGGACTTCAAATCAGGCAAACTCATCATCATGTGTTCAAATCCTGCCTTAAACACTTGCTAGCTGTGTGACCCTGGGCATGTCACTTAACCCTGTTTGCTTTAATTTCCTCGTCTTTAAAATGATCTGGATAAGGAAATGACAAACCATTCCAGTATCTTTGCTAAGAAAACTCCGAATGAGGTCACAAAGGTAGAAAAGCTGAAACAACTGAACAATAAGAAGGGCCAGCTAATTATTTGTATTAAAGACATTTAATGAAATATTTCCTCCAATTAAAAGGGGAAATATTTGTTTCCTCTTAGCAGTCTTTACAGAGAAAGAACATCTGTTCTCTGCAAATTACAAAACACCCTAATGTTAATAAAATCCATAAATGTAACTGTTGAAATAAACATTTCCTTAAGAGTACTTTTGCTCCACTACTCTCAAAGAGTTTTGGTAAAACCTCAAACACCAACATCTGCTCATATCTTCAAGCAAAATTATTTAAAAAAAAATTAAAAATCTAATATGTTTACATCATTTCAAAATTAAAAATGACATTTTGATTAAAATAATATTCTATTGAATGAAATAAAGCAAAAGAATTACCATGTTAATTTATTTTAAGAGTAAATACTGAGTTTTTAAAGCATTTTGAGTTTCTGTAAGACATTATTAAGTAGTTTATTAGTTTGAACATTACTAGGCTTTCCAGTAAACACTTTACCTATGCAATCATCATGATTATTTCCTTAAAGTGAGTTTCTTGAGGACAAGACTGCTTTTTCCTTTTAGTGCTGTGGCTTGGCACAGTGCCAACACAAAGAAAATATTTAATAAATCTTACAGACAGACTAACACACATATACTCCTCTCCTGCTGAGCCCCACGCCCTTCCTAGGAAGATTGTGTCCTGTGGAAGCATGCACAGAGTTCTCTGCCCCTTCTACCTTAGGAGGGTCAGGTAATGGTGGGATATTAAAAACCTAGTGAGAAATGACATGAAGATGCTGAGAATTGAGAAAAAGAGAAGAGAGAAGGGTTTAGGAAATAAATTTATTCTCAACCTGCATTGAGGAGATGGTATTAAAAAAGAGAACTGTATAGAAAATGCCTGGGTCTGAGAAAAGAGACATTTGGTATTCTGGCTATGGAATAAACAGTTATGGGGGGGCGGGAGTAAGAGGGAGAAGGAGAGGAGAGAAAAGGAGAAGGATAACATATTTCTCTCCTCCTTTTTGAGGAAGTACAAGATAAAACTTATTGAGGGAGAGAGGGGTTGCCACAAAAGCTCCTTATTCAAAACTGAGGAAACTTTTTGTATCACCATACAACATAGAGTCTGATGGGTACTCTTTATATAATTTCTATTTTGAATGAAGAGAGTAGTCTGCAACTCACAAAGATTTAGGGAAAGTGGGGATCAATTCCAGGAACAACGGCGATAGTAAGGCAGAACAAGCAGGTGCATAAGCGGTTTAAAAAAGCAAGAAGTCTAGGTTCTCAAAAAGACAGGAAACTGGGATCAGAAACTCAGACTTTAAAACTAGGGAAGAAACTCAGAAATTTAAACAAAGTTTCTAGAGATAAGTAACCCAGATCAAAAGGACACCGAGATCTAACCAAGGCTTCTCAGACGTAGAGTGGGGCACTAGCAATGAGAATAACACTTGATACTGAACCAAGAACTTGGGGAAAGGGATACTTACTCCCTGAGTCATCAGACACCCTAAGAGAACAATACCTCATTTATGACAACCAAGGGGCCTTTGACCCAAGGACTGCTGAAGACACCCCAGCTCTACCCCCCAGACATCTTCCCTTTTACTTCATGTTTAACCTGTAAAGACTTAGCCCCAACGGCTTTAATGATCAGACTTCTTACTCGCAGAATCCACCGCTGCCTATGGAGAGACTACAGACTCTAACATGCTTCATAAAGGGATCTGAGAAAATCACTTAGGCTCTTGGTCTCCATCATCAGGCCCTTAGAAAAAAGCCCAATCTGAGGTACAGCCTTCTAAGCTCATATTAGTCTGATCAGCCACAGACAGACACAGTATACCTTGACCCCAATTTAATGATGTTATTTTGATTTCCTTTGATAATGAAAGACAGCAGTTAAGAACAAAGTTCCACAAAACAAGATTATTCAGGTTGATTCTTTGTGCAGGACTACTGCTTTCCAATACATGTCAATTAATCTTTTACAAAGATGGGCATAACCTTACTTAATCTTGCCAACATCCACAAATGTACCACCGCTATGTTAAAGAATAACAAAATCTCCTTATCCAAACATAATCTATCTAATGGTTTTCTACCTCTGTTCCCCTCTCCCTCTCCCTCCCTTCTTCCCTCATCTCTCTTTGTTTCTCTCTGTCTCTCTGTCTCTGTCTCAGTCTCTCTCTATTTCTGTTTGTCTGTCTGTCTCTCTCTTTCTCTCTCCCTCCTTAGAAAATCCTAATCTTATTGGTTCTAATTCTTACTTACAACATCACTAATGTGAAAAAATGTTTAATAGAAATGTATATGTATAGCCTATATCAGATTGCGTGCTGTTTTGGGGAGGAAGGTGGAGAAAAATTTAAAACTCAAAAGCTTATGGAAGTGATTGTTGATAATTCAAAATAAATTTTAAAAAATTCAAAAAGAAAAGAAAATTCTAATCTTCATCCTCATTGCAACCTCCAATCTCTTGACCCCTCAATTGTCTCCCCAGCTATATTCTTCTCTTCTCCTGATCTTGACTCCTTGGTGAACCAGCTCAACTCTACATTATCCTCCTCTCTTGAATCCCTAGACCCCTTATCACATCACTAATCACATTCAACCAAGTTTCAGCCTTGGATCGCTCCCACTATTGGCTGCCTTTGATTTGACACACATACTACTGAAATAAAGATGGGGACAATCAAACAACTGTTCAGATTCTACTTCTAGGCAAATTTTCCAAGGCAGTAACTGAAAAGAAGAAGAAATACACCAAAGTATTTATAGCAGCATTTTATTTGGGGGTGAGGAGGGAGTATCAAAGACTTATAAATAGATACCCATCACTTGGGGAATAGTTACACAAATGGTAGTACATGAACACAATGAAATATTACTCTGCGGTGAGAAACAATTATGAGGAATGCAGATAAGCATGGAAAAACATAAACTGATATAGAATGAAATAAACAGTCAGGAAAATAATATACATAATGACTACAAAAATATAAATGGAAAGAACTATCAGAAAAAATTTAGAATAAATATTGTAAAATTACAAAGAACAAGCATGTTGTCAAATGAGATACATGAAAAGACACCTTTCTATATCGACTCCTTTGCAGAAGTGATAGATTCATTGATTTGGAAAATTGTACATATTTTCAGTTTTTTTCAATATATTTGTTGATTTTGCTCTTTTTTCCTCTTTTTTAAATTTTTTCTTTAAAAATATTATTTGTTCTATAGGATGGCCTTTTGGGAGGCTTGAGGGAGGGGATATAAGGAATACATTTAGGTGATGAAAAAATTAAAAAAATAATAAAATTTATTTTTAAAAAGAACGAAAAAAGAAAACGGTTACCAATAAATGCACACCAAAGTAAATCCATATCATTGATACCAGCTGTATTCACATTTCAGGAAAATCATTCAGATATGCTATAAGTTACTAAACATGGGTACCATGAAAAAAAAAAAAGGAAATCAAGGTCATTTACCTGCTGAAGTTGGCTCTTCTTCATCTGATGCTGTATGGAAATAAAGGCAGAAGGAAGGAAAGAAAAAAAGAGAAGATAGGGGAGGGGGAGAAGGAGATAAAGAAAGAAGTTAAAAGTCTGTAGCATACTCCTAAACAAAGCTTAATATCCATTTAATTATAATCTAGTTCATCTATTGTGAATCTGTAATTACATAATCATACAGAAGCAGAAATTATTTAAGTGCACATCTTCCACGTTGTCCGATTTGTGTTTATTAGAAAATACCACATTTGTCATTTAGCTTGACTTTACTTTCCACTTGCCAGTAAAATTGACTATAGTTAGTTTCATTACAAATGTGAATTGTTTCCATATACCTCCCACTGAAACATTTAGTTTCAAGAGCACTAATATCTTAATTGATTCTTAATTTATGAATAACCCTAAACATTAAAGTCATGACAGTGACACAGACAATAACATATTGACAGAAACATATTCACACTGAAGTATTAGTTAACCAATCAGTAATTATAAATGCTGGATGTTATATCCTTTTCTTAAAATTTTATTTTAATTCAGTGTTTTGTTATGAATTTATTAAATACCCAAACAAACAATATTACTTTTGTTTATGTCAGATACAGAGTTTAAGATAGTGTCCTGTAATGGGTCAAGTTTAAACATCCAGCTCTTTATACCTCAAGGAATTTAACTGACCTTGGGGAATATGTATGAAAGCAAGGGAGTCAGTCCTGATACATTTACTTCACCAAGCTATCCTTCAAGGATGTCTTGCCTGCCATCTCACACCTGGGCTGCTATCTCACACCTAGACTCAAACAATGAGCACTTCTTAGTCTCATGAGAGAAGAAGGGGGGTTGTTGCTAACCCCCATCACAAAACTTCCAACCAATCCTGTTGTTTCCTGTGCCTAAGATCTGTAACCAATCATGTTGCCCCAATTCCATGGTGTCATCTACCCTGTTCTGTTCTTTGTTTTGTACTCTCCAAAACCTATATAATTGGAACTATTTTTTTGCTCAGGGTCTTCAGTAAAAATGGAGGCAATCCATTGATCCTTTATTGACAGGCAGCATGTCCCTGTTAATAATGTTTCTTGTGCTGAAATTTAACTCAGTTTACTGTCTTTTCTTAAATGTCATTTGAGATGCTTTTAATACTTAAAATATCACAACACTTTTCTGAGTCCCTCCCGTTTTGGTTCCCATTAGGATTCTATGTCTGCTCATTCTGACTCATTTCTCTTCATGTGTCCTTTATTAGCTAGTGTGTGTACTCCAAGCTCTTTTGCCTTTCTCCTTTTAGACGAAGTGCTTAGAGAGGTTGAGGACACTAGGGGTTTAGAAGATAGGAAAAGAGTTATCATAGAGGTGACCAAAGGGCAATAAAAGGGATCACTAAAGATAAGGAAGGGCAATTTCTCTGATTTCCAAACTTTATCTAAGATTTGACCTTCACTCTTCATCTGAATATGGTAAACTACATGTACAGTGATATTTTTATCCTTTACACAAATTTATGTAGGATCCAGCTTGTTTTCATAAATAATGTGTGCACAAGCAGAAATTACTCAGATGCAACCTTTCTTCACACAACTAAAGTTTAGCAAGAGTACTGTTATTGAGTTTTATGTTTTAGGCCAACACTATTTGACATGATTTATGAAGATTTTTTTTAAGTAGAGCTGACCTCTTTAGTTCAAAAGCTTTGTTCTCATATGACTCAATAATCAAGGTAACATTGAAGAACTAGGGAGTATTGTCAGGGATGATTAGTAATAGTAGTAGTTGCAGTAATGATAATAATAATGATGGTGATTCATATAATGATATAAGTTTTGCAAAGTGCTTTATATACACTTAATTAAAGGTATATCAGTTAAAGGTGTCATGACTCCTTAACAACAAAAACCAAATGTGTCTGCTTTCCTTTCAAAGTTTTGCTTGTTTTTATTGTTTTCTTTCTTTTATACTATGGTCGATTCCCCTCAATTCTCTTCTTTGTCCCCCAACAGTTTCTTGTAACAAAGAAAAATATTTAATAAAAGTCCATCTATCAAGTAATAAGCCATTATTACACTGTTATTATTTGCCATGTACTATATTAGGAGTTTGGGATTCAAATTCTAAAGTTTAACGTTTCCTGCCCTCTAGGAGTTTACATTCTTCTGGATGTATACACAAGAGCAGATTAAAGGCCCAGAGGGATTACTATTGGTCTCTCCCCTTAGGAGTCAATGTGAATGCTTTTGGCCATAAACACAAAAAACTCAACATCTATGAACACCTATAGATATAGAAGACAGCAGATTCACAGATAAGTAAATATAAGATATACCCAATATAAGATAAGTAAATATAAGATATACAAAGTGAGTTAAGAAGGACAAGAACAATTATAGGAATTAAAAAAAGACTTATTCAAGGAAGTGTCACTTAAGATGATCACTGAAGGAAGCCAGGAGTTAATTCCAAAAAGCATTCTAAGCATGGTGAAATAGTTTATGCAAATGTATTGAGTCTATTGATAGAAAAACATATCACAGTTGTATACTGCTTTCCATATCTCTTGTACCCATTCCTTTATTGTGAAGAGGAAAGTATATTTCCTATTGAGTTCTCTAAGGACCAAGACTGTTCATTACAATCATGAGTTCAACTGCCTTGCTATTGCTTACTTTATTGTAGTCCTTGTGTATATTTTTACTTCATCCTTTTTTTCTTCAAATTGCATGAAATGAAAAAAAAGAAAAAACAAACAAACAAAAAAATAGGGGCAGCTAGGTGACACAGTTGATAAAGCACTGACCCTGGAGTCTGAGTTCAAATCCAGCCTCAGACACATAACACTCACTAGCTGTATGACACTGATCAAGTCACTTAACCCCAATTGCCTAACCCTCCCCCCCCCAAAAAAACTGCATCAAATGAATGATACTATATCTTCTCATGTCTCTTTGAATTTCTCATAAATATTATTGATATTGACATCTATATAAATCAACAAGCATTTAAATGCTCACCATATGCCAGACACTTTTCTAACTCTTGGAGTTACAAAAAAAGGGGAACAAGAGATAGTTCCTGGCCTCATTGAAATTATATTCTAAGCAGGGAGACAATATAATGTTAAAAGTTTTGTTAAGAATTTTATGTGTATTATTATTTATGTATATTTCCCAACAATGGTAATTGCTAAAAGGTGTTGTGCTTATTTTACAGGTGAGGGATCTGTGTTTCATAAAGATGAAGTGACTTGCTGGTTAAGTGTCTGCGGCAGGATTTTGACTGAGATTTTTCTGACTTCAAGTCAAGAAAACTATTCACTATACCATAGTGTTGTTTGTAATGACATTCTATTAGATTCATATAACAACACTTGTCTAGAAATTCCCTAGTCAATGAGCACCCACATATGAAAATATCAAGAAAAGAAAATGATTATGTTTATTAATCAATCAGTCACTAAGTCAACAATCATTTAAGCATTTACTATGTGACAGGTACTCTGTTAACTATTGGGGTTAAAAGTCAAGAAAAAGGCCTAACTGCCTAGCACTAAAGTGATTTATAAAATTCCTATAGGATGGTAATTCTTAGTAAGAGAACAGTTAATACACATTGAACATGTGGCATTATTAAGAAGAGGGAAGAGTCAAGAAAAGTAGGAAAGTCTCAGGTTGGAGTTTTCATAATTCTTGGTTTGGCATTTCAGCAAGTTGATTGGCTAAATAGTTTCTATGTTTGGTTAAGACTGAGGTTACTTGCAGACAATTATACAGAAAGACAAGCTGTCAATAAAGAGAAACTATATGTAAAAAGTTATTTCTCTTCTTCAGACTTGTGAGAGGTACTTACACTGGTAGGACAGTCATGGATAGATGGTATTTGTCCTATCCAAAGTGTTAGAATAATTGAAGGCTTAATGTCTGAAGGGAAGGAGAAGATATTGAAGCCTTCCACTTTCAATTTTTCTGATGCTGGCATAAGCAAAATGAAAGGTCTCAGCAGAGGCCAAAAAAAAGTCCAAAAGTAGGATTCTCCTAAGTCTTTAAGATTGAAAGCAGTCTGTAGCTTTTAAAAGCCCAAGCTGTAGCCAATTGTATTTAACTGAAGCTGAATCATAACACTTTATAATCTCCTAATTAGTTAATAAGTTAAACAAGATTAAATACAAATACAAATATTGGTTTCAGGAAGCAGATGATGAAGCAAATTTCATTCTTTTCAGTAGCCTGCTAGCAGGTTATTGGTACCTAACGGTGCCCATATACTGAAAGAGGCAGTCACCTTATTAGTGGGTTTGTATTCACCATTTTTCTTTATTAGAAAGGATGATTCTATATTCCAAAATGACTATGATTTTTAACCAAAAGGTGTCAATATTGTTTTTAAATAAAAAGTAAAGATAATATCAGGATATAAGCAATTAGTATACAATCAACATTTATATCGCTATGTTACTTAAAAAATAAAGGACAATTAGCCAAGTTAGCTTTATTTGCTGGACAAGCAATTTTAAGGTCTACCTATATGAAATCATGAAATCTTTTGTATATATTTGTTTGCAAGTTGTCTTCACCATTACAGTGTAAACTCCTTAAGGGAAAGAACTGTCTTTTGCCTCTTTTTGCATCCTTAGTGTTTTGCACAGTGCCTGACACATTGTTGGCATTTAATAAATGTTTATTGAATTGAATATTTGAAATGTAAGCATCCATTCCAGAATTGAAAATGCAATCTAAAAAGTAGAAAAGTCAGTTTAATCCTATGTGTGTGATACAAACACCACAAGCAGTTTTTCTTAAGTTTTATCTGGTTCACTTCTACTCTTCTTGTAATGTCTGGACTAGAGATATTATTTGGAGATGCATACAATAAATAAAAATTTTATGGAGTTAGTTTATATTTTGGTGACCCATCTACAGCAACAATTTAATGAAATACCAATTTTCTAAACTTTGAGTAAGTCCCAGTGGGACTTGGGAGAACAATGTGGTCTGTGGATTATGTAGATACCATTT